CTTCGGTTCTCTTAAGTTTGACTCTTACATTTCTTGTAATACTTTAAAATTAGATTTATTGAGAAATTTAACTTATTTGTGGGCTTTTTCTAAAAATGTTATTGGAGGATGTTACTGCAAGTTTTGTTATAAAAGAAATGAATGCATCACAATAAATTCATATCTCATAGTTCTGTTCATGTCAAATAACAGATTATTGCTCCTTTTTTTAATAATTGTTTAAATTTCTACTCTTTTTTTTAATATGTGGGTACAAATGTTAAGGTTAAGATTATTGCTCCTTTTGAAGAGAATTTGTATGAATTTAGCTGAATTTTACTTGAGGGACCTTAATAAGAAAAGCATACCATTTATAGATTTCTTTATTTAAGTGACCACCATATTGTCCTAATAAATGAGAAAAAATACATTATGCTTAATTCCCAGTTGGAGCTAAATGTGCAATAGGATTGATGTGTTAAAATTATACTTTAATCATTAGAATCATTGAGTTAGAATTAGATTAGATTAAAATCATTAGAATCTTAGTTCAGAAAAAGTTATGTGAAGTTTTCTGGGCCGGGCGTGGTGGCTCACGCCTGTAATCCTAGCACTCTGGGAGCCATGGCTCACGCCTGTAATCCTAGCACTCTGGGAGGCCAAGGCGGGTGTATTGCTAGAGGTCAGGAGTTCGAAACCAACCTGAGCAAGAACGAGACCCCATCTCTACTATAAATAGAAAGAAATTAATTGGCCAACTAATATATATAGAAAAAATCAGCCACGCATGATGGCACATGCCTTTTGTCCCAGCTACTTGGGAGGCAGAGGCAGTAGGATCACTTGAGCCCAGGAGTTTGAGGCTGCTGTGAGCAAGGCTGACTCCACGGCACTCACTCCAGCCTGGGCAACAAAGTGAGACTGTCTCCAAAAAAAAGAAAATGAAGTTTTCTGGCTTCATTAACTTAAAATTTAATTTCTGTTTCTGGAAACTTGAGGTTCTTTAATATCCTAATTTAGTAATATCTATCTTTCTCTAGAGTATGCCCAGCTTTTTGCAGCACTGATTGCACGAACAGCAAAAGATATTGATGTTTTGATAGATTCCTTACCCAGTGAAGAATCTACAGCTGCTTTGCAGGTAAAAGTGTCTATTTGTTTGAGAATTTTATCAGTAATGGAGAACTTTGAATTAAAAGAGATAGATTTAGTGCCTTTTATCTTTGTTCATTTTTGCTGCTATAACAAAATACCTAAGACTAGGTAATTATGAAGAACAGAAATTTATTTTCTCCCAGTTCTGGAGGCTGGGAAGTCCAAGATCAAGGTGTCAGCATCTATTTAGGGCCTTATTTCTACTTCCTCACATGGTGGAAGGCAGAAGGGCAAGAGAGCAAGAGCTTCCCCTTCAACCTGGAGCCCTTTTACAAGGGTCCTAATCCCATCTGTAAGGGCTCTGCCCTCATGACCTAAGTATCTCCTAAAGGCCCTACCATTTAATACTATCACAAATTGAGGATTTGATTTTAAACTGTGAATTTTGGAACATTCAAACCCTAGCATATTTTGTTATAGTATTCAAAGTTACTTTAAGATGAGAGTTTTACTAATTGGGAGTTGGTATAGTCTATTGAAGATTGTGTTGAATGTATATAGTTGTCCAGTTTTGAATTATAAGGAAATCCCCAATTTTCCTCAGTTTGTCTCTTCCTAGTGAAGAATGAGAGGAGGATGGCATTCTGGATGTGGAGTATAATAATAGTGTCCAAAAGTAATGTGGAAAAGAGTTACATACAGATATCTAGAGATCTCTAATTGAAAAATTCATTCTTGGCTGAGTGCGGTGGCTCACGCCTGTAATCCTAACACTCTGGGAGGCTGAGGCGGGCGGATTGCTCAAGGTCAGGAGTTCGAAACCAGCCTGAGCAAAAGCAAGACCCCATCTCTACTATAAATAGAAAGAAAATTAATTGGCCAACTAATACATATAGAAAAAATGAGGCAGGCATGGTGGCGTATGCCTGTAGTCCCAGATACTCGGGAGGCTGAGGCAGGATTGCTAGAGCCCAGGAGTGTGAGGTTGCTGTGAGCTAGGCTGACGCCATGGCACTCACTCTAGCCTGGGCAACAAAGCGAGACTCTGTCTCAAAAAAAATAAAATAAAATAAAGAAAAAAATTAAAAAAATAAAAATCCATTCTTGGCCGGGCGCAGTGGCTCACGCCTGTAATCCTAGCTCTCTGGGAGGCCGAGGCAGGCGGATTGCTCGAGGTCAGGAGTTCGAAACCAGCCTGAGCAAGAGCGAGACCCCGTCTCTACTATAAATAGAAAGAAATTAATTGGCCAACTAATATATATAGAAAAAATTAGCCGGGCATGGTGGCGCATGCCTGTAGTCCCAGCTATTTGGGAGGCTGAGGCAGTAGGATTGCTTGAGCCCAGGAGTCTGAGGTTGCTGTGAGCTAGGCTGACGCCACAGCACTCACTCTAGCCTGGGCAACAAAAGCGAGACTCTGTCTCAAAAAAATAAAAAATAATTTTAAAAATTCATTCTTTTTGATAATTCATGCAAGGGAAATTCTTAAGTTATCTGATTTTTAGAATTTCTGCTACTAAAAAATATATCACAATGGTCATTAAGTCATCTAGATTTAAAATTAAATCTCTCTGCTAGAGTTTCTTTCCTTCTTAATTCTAATGGTTTTTCAATTTGTGTCTTATAAAGGCTGCTAGCTTATATAAGCTAGAAGAAGAAAACCATGAAGCTGCCACATGTCTGGAGGATGTTGTTTATCGAGGGGACATGCTTCTGGAAAAGATACAAAGTGCTCTTGCTGATATTGCACAATCACAGCTGAAGACAAGAAGTGGTACCCATAGCCAATCTCTTCCAGACTCATAGTACCAATGAATACCATGTGGCTAAAGAAAGAACTGTTTCAATGCCATTAAGAATTCTGCATCAGATTTAGATGTAAGCCTTACCAACAGTTACAGAAACATTAAACACTGACATGTGTTACCTTTTTAGCTATTTTTAAAAGTCTTCTATTTTAACTTTTGATAAATAAGCTTATAAAATTGTGATTGAACCAGCTTTAAACCATCATTATAACATTTTTATCTGCATAAAATTATGAAAGCAGATACTACATTAGTGATCATAATATAATTAAATACACTATAAAATTCTTTTGTGATAGAATTTATATCTTTATATTTGATGTATTTCAAATCAGACCATTCCTCAAGCCAGAGGAGAAGGAGGTAAGTGCAGTGATACAGTACATTTCAGTTTAGGTTGGTGTCCTTCTGCCTCTTTAGAGGTGGCAGTATATAAATTTGGAGCTTTAAGCAAGAAAGTTTCTGAAACTGTATTGCTTTTGAGAAACAGTGAGAGTTAGTGTGGCTGGATGAGAGTAGGTCACTTTTATGCAAACCTTTTTCTCTTCCTCATACCTGTTCTAGTTCATACCTCATACCTGTTCTAGTTCATCTTGACATTTGTTTTTACTAAGAAATGCTCTTGTCTGTCTGTGGAATTCCCCTGCTATTGTGAGAGAATTTTTTTCTTCATCCTGAACTATTTTTTTCCCATATCCTTTTACCTGCTTTTTTTCATCCTTCTCCTTAATTTGCTCATCATCATAGTGAAGTATGTTTCCTCAATCATTGATTCCTTCTCATTATCTCTATTTATCTGAAGGTATTGTCTTTTGATCTTAATAACCTCTCAACTTTTATTTGTATATTCTAATCAGACCAGAGATACTTTACTACATCAGTTACTTCAATATTATTTTCTCCATTTCATCTCAGTTTGTTATAGCTAACATTTGTGTCAACATTATCAACTATGGTCACTCATCCAACTCTTGGATCTGCTTGAATCCACCAATTATTTACACGAGAATGCTGGAATTAAAATGCTTCACATTTTAACTGAATCTGTCTCCTGAAACTGTATTTTTCAGACTATCCCAAGCTACATTTCCTTAGCAATCTGTTGCTATTCAGCGTTTTGGGAGAAAGCTCAAGAACAATAGAATGTTCTGCCTATCATTTTTATCATAGTCAAGCTTTTCCAGAACAGTTTTTGAAAAATACTGTGTTCCAAAGTTTGGGGGCATAAGCATTAGCTGGCAAAAGTTGCAGCAATTTATTGGCTAGTCATAGAAACATTTTGAACTTTTAATTTTTATGTGTATTGTCATCGAAGTGTAATAAAAACACTTTGCTATCACATGCATTTGGCATAAATCTGTACCCTTCATTATAGTTATTGGGGAAGAGAATATTTGATCAGAAAATTATTTTTCAAAGTATATAAGTGTTATAATGGAGTCAAGATGGTACTAATAAGAAGAAAGGATCATTTTCAACTAGAATAAAGGAAAGCTTAATATAAAGAAAACCAAAACTGAGCTAGGGTTAACTTTCCTTCTAATTGGAGGACTTATGGTACTAACAGTAAAACAAATTCCCATTGCTTATTTTTACTCTCTGTCCTCCCCCAAGCATCGTCAGACATGCAGCATAGCCTCTAAAGCCCCAGCCTTTTGGCTGGAGGACTGCCAGGAAATCAGAAAGTACTGGGAAATTGTGGAGAGAAAGGGACTTGGGAAAGCAACCCCTTATCATTTATGAGCACCTGTTCACCCTCAAGCTACACCTTTGTGGCTCTGACACTAAACAGAATACATGGACTGTGAAATGAGCTGGGCATGGTGGCGCATGCCTGTAGTCCCAGCTTCTCAGGAGGCTGAGGCAGAAGGATTGCTTGACCCCGGGAGTTTGAGGTTGCTGTGAGCTAGGCTGATGCCACGGCACCCTAGCCCGGGCAACAGAGTGATTCTCTGTCTCAAAAGAATATATAGACTGAACTGAACTACAGGAGAGATTGCCAGCCAAGTCTCACACTGGCTGCTGGTTGTGTGCACATGAGACGGATTCAATAGCACTGTAAAGGTTTTAAAAACTGAACTGACACTGGAAACAACTCACAGTATGCTGGTTGGAACTTGTGGCCTGAGTTCAGTTGTACTAAATGCCTACTAAAACAAAATGAAAAGTAGAATTCTATGTATCATTAAATAAGATCCAGAAATTCATATATTCAAAATGTCAAGGATACAATACAAAATTACTTGACATACAAATAATTGAGAAAAAAATCAGTCAACACCAAAAAAAAAAAAAAAAAAAA